GTCAAAATTACACACATTTGTTTCTTAAATAGAAGTATAGATACTACAGTTTAAAAACACTCTGGTAAAAGTTGAAGTATCAACTTGACCTCTTACCTCAAGTAAAAGTGAAAAAGCATGTGCTCCAAAAACTACTTCAAGTATAAAAGTAACCTTTAAAAAAAAACAGCCAGATGCCACTATAGGAATTGAAATCTAAATTTTTTGACTATTTCGAAAAAAAATTTGAGATAGGGCCAAGGATGAGGGAGGTCTTGTTGGTCTCCGTCTCCGTCTCCATCTTCCGATACGCTCTCGCCTGAGTCCAAACTTTCAGACATTTCAACGTCTTTTTCAGAATCCAACATTGTAGCATGGCATAGACAATTCACGTTTGCTGTTTGAAGAACACCTCCTTGTTCTGACGATTTTCTTTGGCGTCAGCACAAATTTGCCGAATAGCTAACCAATGAGTATTTGTGTTATGTGACTCATCCAATTACACCAGTTTTCAGTTGAAATAAATATTTCTAAACATTAAACCGTAGCCAAGAGTAACGAGTAACATTTATTTCAATTTGAAAAACTCACACAAAGAGAAAAGACAATTAGGGGAAATGTATTGATACAATTACTTTGTCTTTGGCGCTCAGACCTCGGCAGGAAACATAGCATTTTTATAGATATGCATGACCAGGAGCAAAGAATAGGGCTGTTTCCCCCCAGGCCTGAAACTGGTGGTGGAGTGGAGATAGATGAAGTTGGTCAGTCTGTAGACTGCTGGTTAGCGAGATGGTATGCTGAGCTTTATGGGGAGATCCAGTGGACTGCATGAGCTGATACTAGAGCTTCACTCAGGGACCTGGAAGATGGAAGTCCAGTTGGATAATACAGGTTGAGAGAACCTGTCCATGATGAGCAAGCACGAAGCGACGGTGGAGAGGAAAAACTCCCCTTTGGGAAGAAACCTCTGGCAGAACCAGGCTCAACATGGCGGTCTTCTGCCGGACTGGTTAAGATGAGACAGTGAACGCAGAGTCCATGAGGAATGACACTCTGATGAAACTTTAGCTACGATGGAGAAGGAGGAGCTGAAGGTGGGTTGAAACGGTGTCATCTGAATGAAGTCACAGCGCATCCGCCGCCTGCGCACAGGAGCAGAGAAGTGCGTAACGGAGGCCTTTGAAGATGAACTTTGGATGCCCATTGGCTTTCGTGGAGGTGTGGTTCAAAGCTGATTGGCTGTGTTGTAGGTGGATGTATGAAAAACAAAGAGTTTCTTCAGCTGAACTTCCACCTAGGCTCTATTTTAAAAATGTAAGGAATAGAAAGTAAAGATACTAGTGTGAATAAGTGGAAGTCAGAAGTAGGAAAGACAATAAGTAATGGAGTAAAATATAGATACCTAAAAACACAGTAATGAAGTATTTGTACTGCGTTACTTGACAACTCTGCTGATAACATGTACTTTCAGAAAGTGTCATGATTCCTGGCATTGCTGCTGGTCTGAGTCCTCCCTTAACACACCTGTCTCCATTACCCTCATCTGCTCACCCGACTATATCTCTATATATATATATATATATATATATATATATATATATATATATATATATATATATATATATATATATATATATATATATATATATATATATATATATATATATATATATATATATATATATATATATATATTATATAATCATTATATTGTGTAGTTGGATGTGTGTGTATATATATATATATATATATATATATATATACACACACATCCATATATATATATATATATAAAACTGTAACTGGAGCATGTAACAAAAGTAATTTCCCTCTGGGATTATTAAAGTATTTCTGATTCTGATAATCAAAGCAGATTTGTTTAACCTGAGAATTAAATAATTCATTTTAAAAATGTTTTATTTGGAACATTACAATGTTATTCCTTGGGCATACTTTTAATTTTCATCTGTACTGCTTTGAAAATTAACCTTTTACATTTTTTCCATTAGGTTTACTTTTTTGCAATTAAAATCAAGGCAGCATTACAGTACAGACAGGTTTTGTCAGTGAAAAACCAAGGAGAGGGAAGAAGAGGAGTATTTGTTGGAAAGATTATAATTTCCCTGTTTGAAAACAGAAAAATATTAGCTTAGAGATTTCCTAAAAAGTCTCACCATCATAAGCAAACACATCAAATTTTGAGCTTCAATGATGTGTCGTTTTAAAATTTGGTTGTTATATCTTGAGGAAATTTCCTTTTTGTTTGACGACTGAAAAGAATAGGAAAGGCTTGTATTGTCTCCAAACATTCAACATGAGTACAGCTGTGCAGCAATTTCTTTGATTGCCTCCAGTAATCCTGCGTGTGTTCCACAAACATGGCTTTAGTGCTCTAAGCACACACTGCAGTAGGTGATGAAAATGTTTTCCTCAGTGATTCTGAGTTAAAATGATGTCAGTTTTGAGCTATAATTATCAGAATGATTAAAAACACCCATCTTCTATGTATTTTATCCTTAATGTATGTAACAGACAAACATTAAGTAATTTAAAGTAATTAAAAATGTGAAATAGGATTTCCTTCTTTTTAAAGGATCTGGTTTAGCAGGTTATTTTCAGAAGCAACCTAACTAGTGACTGGATTGTTCCATTTGTGATATAAAACTAGTGTGAAGAGAACTATTGACGTTATCACAACCAGAAAAAGGTCAATGGCAGATTTGTGGAGTTTTAAGCAGGGGTTGGTTGTAAAACAATACGCCAAGCTTTGAACATCTTATGAAGCACTGTTCAGTCATTTGTCCAGCAGCTAATTTGCAACGACATGGTCATACACCTTAAATGACAGATTGTGCCAGAGGCGCAATAATCAGAGTAGCTGGCAAGAGGCCCAAGGTAACTCTGAAGGGGAAGCTGAAATCTACAACTGTGGTTGCAGAATTTTTCAACATAGCTATTAGGGCAAATTTGTACTTTATGGTTAGCAAGACAAAACATAATGTAACAAAAGTCTTAACTTATGTAAGAGTTTATGACAAACACCTAGATGGGTTAGGGTTATGAGGTTCTCTGGTTAGATTGAAAACTCTTTTAGGTACTTTGTGTGGGAAAAAACTAAAGAGAATACAATGATGAAAAATAGTTCATAGAAATGTTGTAGATCAAAGCATATGTATGTGTTAACATGACAGTCAAAATTGTGACAAGTATTAAAAAGTACTGTTTTGTTTCTTTAAACTTAGACTCTTTATCTGTTATGTTCTCTGAAATTGATGCCTGGTCTGATTACTAATTTCTCTCACCTGCTTATCTCCACCCAGTTCTTATTACCCTTCATCAGATCCACCAGCTTCAGCATCTATTTAACCAGCCATCAACCAGTCATCAGCGGCAGATTATCCAAGCCTTTGGTGAGAGTTGTCTACCGAACCTGAATGTTTCTGATTGCCTGACCCTGACCTGTTTGCCGGCCTCCAGATGAATTTTTGCCTGTGTACAGAACTTGGAACTGATTCCTAACACCATCCTGATTTTCCCTTCGGAACCTCTTCGGACCTCTGATCTCCTAGTTTTGACTCCTGAGCATGACACCAGCTTTGGCCTCGCCCAGTAGGCGCAGTCTTTTTGGATCTCAAAAAGGCATTTGATATGTTAAATCATAAAATTCTAATTGCAAAATTATCCAAATAAAATTTTTGACCTAAAACTTTACAGTGGTTTGAATCATACTCAGAAGGAAAAGAGCAGTGTGTCACAATAAACAATGAAAAATCCTATTTTTTAAAGATAAATACAGGAGTGCCACAGGGATCCACTCTTGGCCCTCTACTCTTTACACTATACATTAATGACTTGCCTGAGTCTTGTCCAACAGAAGGTTTTCAGTTATATGCAGACGATGCAGTAATTTATGTTCTTGGAAAGACTGTGCAAGCAGTTTTTAATGAACTGTCAGGACATCCACAAACTGTGTCAGTGTGGTTGCATAATGCACAGCTGTCTCTGAATGTTAAAAAACTTTGTCTGTCTGTTTCTCTTCTAGGACCAAGCCCATATCTCAGGAACTAAATTTGCAGATAAATGGAGCCAGAATCCAGTAGGTTTCAGAAATCAAGTATCTAGGATTAATACTTGACTCACACTTGAAATTTGACAGCCATGTAAAAAAAAGTGTCCAGAGTAACACAAGCAAACTTGTATACATTCAAACTGATTAGAGATTGCCTACCCTTTCACGCTGCTCACAGTTTTGTGCACTCCATGATCTTTTCACATCTAAGTTACTGCATCAGTTCTTGGTCACAGGCCACAAGCACTACTATCAAGCCTCTTCAGACGATATACAATAGAGCTATAAAAATCAGGTCCCATCACTGTGTTAGTCTGAACAATTTAAAAATGCTAAATTTTGAGAACTTTGTCAAATTTGCTCAGTTAAAACTGGTTTACAAATGCTTGCATGATCAGGCCCCTGAGGTTTTGAGTGACTGTGTAGTTCCTCTCAGAGATGTGGGCTCCGTCACAAGAGGAGCTCACAGTGGAAACTGTCAAGTACTCAGATGCAAAACTTCCTTCGGACAATCAGCTTTCACTGTACAAGACACCAAAACATGGAATACATTACCTGCAGAACTGAAGGGAGAGTCAAACTGGGTCCTTTTTAAACATAAACTTAAAGACTTTTTATTGAGAGGTCAGATATGTGAACATTAATAATCTAACTGAACTGATCTTGTTTCTGTGATGTTTTAGTGTGTAATTTGTTCTGTTGTGCCTTGTGTACAGTCACTGTGTTTTGTGTTAAAGCCTAACTGGGGACAGTCATTGAGAATTAGCCTTAGCTAAAATGTTGTAGTGTGTGACATGATTCATGAAACAGGTCCCTATCAAATAAACGAATAAATAAATTAATTAATCGTGCCTTCTTTTTTCTGCTTGGTTCTGATCTCCTGCCTGTTCTCTGGCCTCTTGGGCTTTAGCATCTGGCACTCCCTGGGCGGCACTCGCTGTGTCTTGTTGGCAGCCGACCGGCTGGAACCAACCTCATCCTCTGGGCTTGGACTGAACTTTAAGACCAGGTTAGTGACTCACACTCATAATCATCCTCCACCAGAAAGACGTGGTCATTAATCTGTGTCTGCCTCAGACACTGACGCTGTTCACTGCAGATCTGTTTCTAAATAAATGTTTTGAGAAATCCAACTGTCTGTCTGCCTCAAATACTAGACCCAATCTTTCTTAGCGTAACAAAAACTTTTTCTATTTGGCAAAGATGACCTGGCAAACATATGAAACTCTTAACATGTGAAAAGCTTAAAAATGCACCTTAAGGATTGCAACCATAATTTTTTTTGCAAGTTAGTTCAACACGAGCATATGCTGTGTGTTGGTGTACTGTCTGTATGAATTATTATTCCTACATGTGGGAGACAGCATCACTGCTTCAGTTCAGTATGATGACTCATCCGCTGTCCTTGAAACCCTGCCACCCTTTTCAAGATAAGAAATGACAGAGTTTAGTGTGGAGTTTGAACAAGTGTTTGTGCACTTCATTGGAACATTTCTTTTTCCAAGGCTGAGAAGCAGGGGTATTGGATTGTACAGCAGCTATTTATCCCTGGTAATCTAAACCCCTGCTTTTTCAGCTTATGTCATCACTCGATTAAAAACTACAACGAAATACTTCTATCCAATTACAATAAGACATTAAAAATGGTTTTAAATAAACAGAAATGTTTCATGTACTAGCATTTGAACATATACCTTTTTTTTTCTTTTGGAAAACTTAGGGAAAAAAGGAACAGTCAAGTGCTCAGATAGTAGAATAAAGACTAATACATCACAACCATCCAGCTAATCTCAGAATGTAGGTACTTTCACCACTTGCACTATATATTTCTTGTTATACTTCAACATATATCACAGTATAGAAAACAGTGTGACAACTTCCTTTTTTTGGAAAATTTTGTTGAAGTTAAGCAGTGTGGTGATTTCTATACTTAAACTGGACAAATGTTTTTGATTAAATTCCATCTCCATATAAATTAAACTTGCCCAAATCTTGACAATAGCTCAACCATTCTTACCAGGGAACATGAAATCTCTAACCAAGCCGTTCTGGATTGTTTGTCTTATTTCAATATAGCACATAGGCCCAGCTAATCCTACATGTTTAGGATAATGTTTTATTGATTAAATAGCTTTTATACAGAAAATGTTTAAAAAGATGTGTTTGTCAGCAAAGGTCTCAAAAGTCTTCTGAAAACCTAATCATGGGCTCTGTTTCAGCATATGAAGTACCCTAGGCACTTAAAGTTCTGGATCACTATTTTAAAAAATCCACACCCTCAAATCCTTGAAACAAAAATATTAAAATAAAAATTTTACAAAATATGTTGGGTTTCTTTCTCTGTCACATTTATATTATCTGATATGATACTAAGTGGACTGGTTATTTTGATATGAGAAGAATTCTTTTCAAATCCTCTTGTGGAACATATATATATATACACTTTCAGAAATTACAGAAAATGAGATGACATGATTTATACATAAAATAATCTAGTTTTTTTTTTAAAGTAACTTTTCCATATTCTTTGCCCAGTGTCCACAGTGTTGAAATGTATATGTTTTATGTATCTTCATTGACAGAATGTAACTGAATTAAATTGACATGTACTGATGGATTTTATATGTCCTTTTTAAAACCAAAAAACTGGTGCAATTTTTGCTAATTTCTGTCACCTGCTGTCACCTGCTTATCTCCACCCAGTTCTTATTACTTATATCACAAATGTTATTCTTATTACCAAGCCTTTGGTGAGAGTTGTCTACCGAACCTGAATGTTTCTGATTGACTGACCCTGACCTGTTTGTGAGCCTCCAGATGAATTTTTGGCTGTGTACCGAACTTGGAACTGATTCCTAACACCATCCTGATTTTCCCTTCGGAACCTCTTCGGACCTCTGATCTCCTAGTTTTGGCTCCTGAGCATGACACCAGCTTTGGCCTCACTCTACAGAGGTGCAGTAGGCGCAGCCTTTTTGGATCTCAAAAAGGCATTTGATACGTTAAATCATAAAATTCTAATTGCAAAATTATCCAAATTAAATGTTTGACCTAAAACTTTACAGTGGTTTGAATCATACTCAGAAGGAAGAGAGCAGTGTGTCACAATAAACAATGAAAAATCCTAATTTTTAAAGATAAATACAGGAGTGCCACAGGGATCCACTCTTGGCCCTCTACTCTTTACACTATACATTAATGACTTGCCTGAGTCTTGTCCAACAGAAGGTTTTCAGTTATATGCAGACGATGCAGTAATTTATGTTCTTGGAAAGACTGTGTAAGCAGTTTCTAATGAACTGTCAGGACATCCACAAACTGTATCAGTGTGGTTGCATAATGCACAGCTGTCTCTGAATGTTAAAAAACTTTGTCTGTCTGTTTCTCTTCTAGGACCAAGCCTAAATCTCAGGAACTAAATTTGCAGATAAATGGAGCCAGAATCCAGTAGGTTTCAGCAATCAAGTATCTAGGATTAATACTTGACTCACACTTGAAATTTGACAGCCATTTAAAAAAAAAGTGTCCAGAGTAACACAAGCAAACTTGTATACATTCAAACTGATTAGAGATTGCCTACCGTTTCACGCTGCTCACAGTTTTGTGCACTCCATGATCTTTTCACATCTAAGTTACTGCATCAGTTCTTGGTCACAGGCCACAAGCACTACTATCAAGCCTCTTCAGACGATATACAATAGAGCTATAAAAATCAGGTCCCATCACTGTGTTAGTCTGAACAATTTCAAAATGCTAAATTTTGAGAACTTTGTCAAATTTGCTCAGTTAAAACTGGCTTACAAATGCTTGCATGATCAGGCCCCTGAGGTTTTGAGTGACTGTGTAGTTCCTCTCAGAGCTGTGGGCTCCGTCACAAGAGGAGCTCACAGTGGAAACTGTCAAGTACTCAAATGCAAAACTTCCTTCGGACAATCAGCTTTCACTGTACAAGACACCAAAACATGGAATACATTACCTGCAGAACTGAAGGGAGAGTCAAACTGGGTCCTTTTTAAACATAAACTTAAAGACTTTTTATTGAGAGGTCAGATATGTGAACATTAATAATCTAACTGAACTGATCTTGTTTCTGTGATGTTTTAGTGTGTAATTTGTTCAGTTGTGCCTTGTGTACAGTCACTGTGTTTTGTGTTAAAGCCTAACTGGGGACAGTCATTGAGAATTAGCCTTAGCTAAAATGTTGTAGAGTGTGACATGATTCATGAAACAGGTCCTTATCAAATAAATGAATAAATAAATTAATTAATCATGCCTTCCTTCTTCTGCTTGGTTCTGATCTCCTGCCTGTTCTCTGGCCTCTTGGGCTTTAGCATCTGGCACTCCCTGGGCGGCACTCGCTGTGTCTTGTTGGCAGTCGACCGGCTGGAATCAACTTCATCCTCTGGGCTTGGACTGAACTTTAAGACCAGGTTAGTGACTCACACTCATAATCATCCTCCACCAGAAAGACGTGGTCATTAATCTGTGTCTACCTCAGACACTGACGCCGTTCACTGCAGATCTGTTTCTAAATAAATGTTTTGAGAAATCCAACTGTCTGTCTGCCTTAAAGTTCTGGATCACTATTTTAAAAAATCCACACCCTCAAATCCTTGAAACAAAAATATTAAAATAAAAGTTTTACAAAATATGTTGGGTTTCTTTCTCTGTCACATTTATATTATCTGATATGATACTAAGTGGACTGGTTATTTTGATATGAGAAGAATTCTTTTCAAATCCTCTTGTGGAACATATATATATATATACACTTTCAGAAATTACAGAAAATGAGATGACATGATTTATACATAAAATAATCTAGTTTTTTTTTTTTAAAGTAACTTTTCCATATTCTTTGCCCAGTGTCCACAGTGTTGAAATGTATATGTTTTATGTATCTTCATTGACAGAATGTAACTGAATTAAATTGACATGTACTGATGGATTTTATATGTCCTTTTTAAAACCAAAAAACTGGTGCAATTTTTGCAGCATCTAACTAGATTAAGAGGTGGGTGCCACACAGCTCTGTCATCCATGACTGCCTGTCTGAAACACATAAAAGAGGCCATTTCTATGGAAATGCAATGTTTACACGCATGGAGTAAGTCTATTATCTGCCATTTTGAAAATATTATGTTCACATCGCTTCCCGGGATTGTACCTCGTTTTGCTCTCAGCTTCTTCCCCTTGTTTTCTTTTTTGTTTTTTTATGTGCTCATCCAGAGGAAAAACAAATGGTGTTAATGCCTTTTCTGCCTGATTAGGTGCAAACCTTTTCTGTCTCCTCCATGTTCATGAATTGCAAGAGAGATGTCTCACTAGTGTTTCGAAAAGTACTGCTTTCAATGTCTAAATGGGGCCCTTTTCACCTTAAAAGCACTTCAGTGGACTAGGGAAGATTGGACTCTTTTCTCTCCACTATTGCAAGGTGTGTCAGGAGTTCAATATGTGTTTTGTAGAGCATGAAGTTCCAGAGAAAGTAAATGTACAATGCAACAGAATAAAATAAAATTAATGCACTGAAAGCATAAACAATTTCCTGGGGAAAAAAGTGAAACTTGCTGTAAGAAAAAAAGTGTTATTTGTGTTTTGACATCTATAATTTTCCGGAGAGACATAGCAGACATTTAAACAAAGTTACAGCTAGATAGATAAGACTTTAACTGTGATACTTTTTCGATTAATTTATATTCATTGTGTCCAAAAATCAAACCACAAAAAGGTTCCATAAAGCACTTTAAAACTCAAAAATGTAGCAAAAAAAAAGCTTAAAATCTCCAATGCTTCAGTGCTGGTGAATCAGGCACTACATGTAGGTTATTAAGTGCCAGGGTGGAAGACCAGAAAAATCCGGCTCATAAAAAATATAATAGCAATCTAAGTAACAACATATTAAACATAAAAAAAAAAAACAGGTAAAGCTTGTTGTTTTGTTCAAAACAAAAAGATGTACTTTACTCACACACACACACACACACACACACACACACACACACACACACACACACACACACACACACACACACACACACACACACACACACACACACACACATACTTTTTTTGCTACATTTATTAAGGTCCATGTTTTAACTCCCATTGACTTACATTGATTTTCGGTCATTTTTCAACCCTTTCCATGCCCTAACCCTAAAACCAGCCCTAAACCTAACCATTACCAATGCATACCTCACCCTAACCCAAACCCAGTTCACAATTAGCCCTAAACCTAACCGTGACACTTTGACACTTGTTCAAAAGAACTTTCAGGGTAAAGGCAGCTACATACTTCACATGAAGTAAGAAATGTCTCTCCCTGGTATGCCTGTTGTATAATTGGAATCCAAGTGGCATATGCAACTTTTGAAAGTGGTATGCTAGATACCACTGTCTACCACCCGCTGTCACTTTCATTTTATCAGTATTATTCTCCAATCATTTTCATTTCTCCCATCCCTCTATTTATACATAGAAACGTATTGTTTCAGTTGACATCCATTAGCCCAATAAGAGTCTTTACTGGAAATATTTTAACCTGGAATTGAATTATTTTTGAGGAGATATTTTCATCTTTTAAATGGAGGTTGTAGTGAATTTATTCCATATGTGTTTGCAGTTTAGTAAAGATTGAGCTCCAAATCACTCTTTCATTGGATTTCCTGACACAAAATTATTTTGGCAGGTGTTAACAGGCAAAATATGAGTTGTTATTTGATTAAAGGTGAAATTAACAATTCAATATTTAAAAAAAATTATAATAAATAATAATGTGAAGAACTACAGCTCTCTTATATGGAATATAGTGGTATGCCACACACCATCTCTGTGTTTTCCAGACTTTTGTTTTTGATCTGAGCATGTATTTCCATGTAAACAGAGTTTAGCTCCTCCCTGTCTACAAAATGCCAACCATGGAAGCGGAGCGTTGGAGTGTGTCCAGTGGACCAAAACACTCAACTGCAGACAATCATTTACCAAAATAATTCGCTCTTGCCATCAGCATTATGAAGTTATGAGTTACTTATTTCTTCACAAAGCGTGTCCCTCTGAAAGGTGATGATGTTTTGCTGTATTTATCCTCTGTAAATGTGTGCATATGTAGGAAAAATGGGAGATTGTAACTGTGATGCAGCTAAAGTGGAGGAAGAGACAGGCATACTACACATTTTGTTTTAGTCTACCGAAAGAGCCCAATGGCCCACTTAGTAGTAAAAATTTGTTTATTGCTGCTTTAAATATTACATTAAATAAAGGCATTTAATTGCACAACTGGAAAGGATAGTTCTAAGAATCACTTTGTCATTTTTAAAAAAGGAACATTTGTTTGATACATCTTCTCAGTAATATGAAGCATTTTGCTCTCCTCCTGCCTCATTAATTAGAAAAAAAAAAATTTCCTCTGAAAATATGTTGTTTCTTTTTCCTGTTTGAGGTAAGGTACAGTAGATGGGACTTTCTATCAGTTTGGCACCTGGGAATCTCATGAAGTCTGAATACTTGGCAGCAAAAATAACTTCTTATCTTATTTCTAATGCTATAGTTCTTTATATAAAATTGAAATGCATAATTTCTTAACAAATATAAGTCACACAGTTAGGATTTCCTGAATGCAGCATATATATATGGTCTTCATTTGATAACAACGGTCAACATCCAGGCATTACCAACCTGGAATGGCAATTAAACAAACACACAAGGTGAGCGAAATACCAGACATGATGCCCTCAGTTGTTTATTGTTATGAGATTGGCTTAAAATGAAGGAAGTGCCTCTAGGGTGAGCAGCTCCCGCTTTCAGACAGAGGTTTGGCACTTGTATGCACATTTGGACTCAATGGTCAGGACACATGTCTGCTCAGCTCTCAGTGAAGCCGGCCATGCTTGGTGTTGAACACGCTGTCACACACACCATCTGTTACCGCCAGCTCTCCTTGGCTTGAGCAAACATGGCTATGCGTAGGTAATGGTGCAGACAAAAATTCTGACCTTGACACTGTCTCCTGTGTGTGACCAGGGCTAGATTGATGACAGTAACTAAGCATTTTTTTTTATTTTGGTTGGTTTGACACAGGAAACAGAATCCTGTGGTGCCTGGAAACCCGTCTGTCTCTGTGGGCGATTAGGGAGAGTGTCTTTTTCTGCCTCTGTTACCTTATTGAAGATCAATTCAGTTGGTGTACATGTTTCGCTCTTTAAATATAGTCTAGACATCCATTATCAAAAAAACAGCATTTATTTACTGTTTGCACAACAATAAAAAATAATCAATCTGATCTTTAATTTTTAACATATGCTTTGCTATGGCTGAAACATTATGACTTTGAAGCTGATAAAACTGACAGAGGAAACACACTCATTCTTAAAAGCCCATACAATCAGCTAATAATGCTTTAGATTATGATATAATATTAGATTATAACTATGCTCTGTTTTCACTCACTTTTCAGTTTGGGAGCAGCTCCAAGTATGCAACACGCCAAAGGTAAACCTTTAGGTTCATATTCATGATCTTATTCTCATCCTTACCACGTAGCGTCCTTCCTATTGTAAAACATAGCAGTGATAGCATGATGCTATGGTATGTAGGTTTGAGTAGAAATATGGATGGAGGTAAATGGAACAAAAACCTGCCATTCACTAAGAAGGCCCATTGGTTATTTGTCACCTGTTTGAAGCATTGTTTTAATTAATAAGAAAAAATAAAATATTTTTAATATCAATTAGACCCAAGTCTTTTGTTTGCATTTTTTATTATGTGACCACCAGAGATAGAAAGTAAATACTTACATTTACTCATCAACATTTAACTTGAGTCAATAAAAAAAACAAAAGAAAAAACAATATGTACTTCTAGTATGATAGTTTTACTGCACAATACTGTACCTCTCACTTTTATTTAAATAGTATTATGATGAATTATCACAATGCTTACCTGTATAACTTTTCTGGTTACTCTGCCAAAAGCTACTAAGTAAAAAGTATTCTTGAAAAAGAAGAGATCAAGACGATCTTCAAAACATAGTAAAGAGCTGGTAGGCAATCCTTTAACATATTCGATCCATACAGTCAGATAATGAGAATTACCACCTGACTCTTCTCACTTTAAACCTGCTTCTATGCATACCAATTTTAGTCAATGTCCACACTTATTATTCGATTCATTGCTGCCAATGCTGTATAAAAAATGGTTTAATTGAACCCTTTGGATCGATGGCACCTGATGCAGCCTATCTCCTGCTTATCTCACTGTGGGGGGAACTGCATTCATAATGCTATTGACAATATTGAGCAGAATTGACAATGGGTGAGAATAAGCACCCAAGGCAGTGGGTGGGGGAATGAAGTCTCATTCTTTACAGCTGTAGCCCTTTGTGATTGGTTCTTTCACCATAAACATGAAAAATTATTTTCAGCTACTAAAATGAGTGAGGATTTTTAAACTACTGTACTCCTAAACCTTAAACATGTTCTTAGGCTGGATACAGTGCCTTGTGAAAGTATCCATAAATATTCTGTTTTGTTTTTTTTTCTTCATCTCTATATCTACTACCACAAAATGAATTTATTTAATTATTTTGTATAATGTATGTGGCATTATCTACCTATAATGCCTATTACCTACCTAGAATTTCATTCTAACACATGCAAATGCTTAACCATCTGTCTTTCCTTCAAATCTTATCAGCTACTGGTACCCGCTGACACATTTTTTAAATAAACATAATAGATATTTTATTTCCATGTTTATATTCTGGTTACTTTCATGTACCTACCAAAAACAAAAGGGTCCACATGATGCAAACATCACTATGTTTCATTGTCAGGATAGTTCCATATCCTTTGTTAATAAAAAAAAAGAAAAACCCACAGCATGATACTGCCACCACTATTTTTCACTTAAGGTTTGATACATAAAGTATAACCTCTGTCATCTTAGTGTTTTTTGCATGATAGCCAAAAGGTTTTTGGACTAACAGTACCTGACAAGACACTCTCTTCCACGTGTTTGTGAAAAATGTGTGAAAGTTAAAAACATTCTAAACTCTTTTGCTAGATGCAAAATAACATATTAACAATGGTTTTACATTGATAGAAAGTAAATTTAGTATAAAGATGTATTTCAATATATTTGATGGTTCAGTGATTTTGCAAACATAACCATATGTATGTTATTGTTCAGCTTAAATCATAGATTATCTGCTAGAATTAATGTAAAGCAAAATAAAGCACAGCAATAAAACAGTAGTCCATAATCAACCTGCTGACATGTATCATTTTAACAGCCGCTGAAATATATTTTAGGTACATATTTTGATCGTGGGGGCATATTTTCCATTTTTTCCCCCCCTTGGTGGCGGAGTTGAAAGGAGGAGCTGGGTTACGCTCACGCCGCTCAGAGCTCCTCACCTCTGACGGATCCCCCGTTTCCAACCTTTCATCCCACAAATTGTCCCACGCGGGGATGGACGCGAGTGGCCGCCTCGCGTGGAGAAGCAGAGGCGTGAGAGGGAATCCTCTAGTATAGGTTGGAACCGTCGGGAAGCGGAGAGGCGTCCGTTTGGGCGTCGGTGGTGATGTTTGAATTGGTGACTGCAAAAACTGGCAGTGTGTCGGAGATTGGAGAGCTCTGATCACTGGCTCGCTCTTATTGGAGAGAAAAAGGAGGAACGGATATGTGAAAGAGACTGCTCTCTTCTTTGTGGTGTTTTTAGTTCATCGCGCTGAAACAGTAATTGGACTGCTTGGAAAGGAATTCATGCATTGATAGTTTACAAAGCCACTATGCCAGAATGGGTCCTCTACAGTATCTATTCCTCTGTGGACTTTTGTACACCCAGGTCAACGGTAAGTTTAATCACCTCTCTTCCCCTAACAGTGAGTGAAGTGATGTGAGATCAGGGTGCGACCTCAGGCACAGGTAGAAGCGCAGCCCTAACGAACTGGGGACCATAGAGGAGGAAATCTTGTTTCTCCTGAATTATAGTTCATGATGCCAACACTCAGCGCGTTATGGTTGGGTGATTTCAATCCTGATGTAGGGTATTATTGTAGGCAAATTCTTTAATGGCTTCGTTAGACAAAACTCTTTAATTTATTCATGAGGACTTTTCCAGAGAACTCATTTGTCACACGAATTAAATCACATGGCGTCTAGATGTAGCCTACTGCATTTTACATGTCATTTCTCAGCATTGTAAGGTAATAGCCTTGATTGATTGAACTGAAATTATTTATATAATTTCTTAATATTATGTTTTTCTCAATTCTCTCTTGTTTTTAACCTCCCTTTAAGTTAGAATTAACTTAAAGGGAATTATTCCTGGTTGGGTAAATATGCATGTGATAGGACGTTCTTCTACACTGTTTGGAATCTGTAGGCTTGTTTTTTAAAGTGACATCTGTTATTAGTGGTGGTCTAATGAAAACTTTCTTGATCTATCTATCTATCTATCTATCTATCTATCTATCTATCTATCTATCTATCTATCTATCTATCTATCTATCTATCTATCTATCTATCTATCTATCTATCTATCTATCTATCTATCTATCTATCTATCTATCTATCTATCTATCTGTCTGTCTGTCTGTCCAAAATGAAGGGTGGAGTCTCATTAACAGCGTTTGTTAATGCAAATGTGAAGGGTAGAACACATTAAGTGTTGAGCTATTGTAGATAGAACTTGCTGCTTCAAAGCGGGAGTGCAGTAAGGCTGGTCATGGTGGTCATAATGTTAAGCCTAATCAGCACATGTTGTTGTTATTTTGACTGATCAGCACTCTCATCTTTTTGAGACTTGAGTTTTTGTTTTGTTATTTATTCATTTTTTTAGGTTTGTTTCTTATGATTGGCCCTTTTGCTTTCAATGCCTCATCCTAATCCACAAGTAGAGTAATCCCAAGTAAAATATTAAGAATTCAGAATAAACTCGAAGTAGATTACACATCTTTTTTCCAAGATTTGCATCTGAATAGGTGTGTAATTCTCTTTTGGTGATAAAGCTGCTTACTGCTTTCCATATATGTCTGTTTAGACGATACCTATCTGAAGTTTACACTACTAATCCATATTCAGTTCTATCTGGTAGAATGTTCTAGAAAGTAAACCATTAAGTGATTGATAGAGTGATAAGAGGAGCATTGTGATATTGTGTTACTGAGTCACAATTGGTCTGAAATTACCTTTGCAAATATTCTTTTTTTCATTTATGTTCATCAAACTATAAACATTGTTTGATGCGTCTCCAGGTTGGAAACCTAAATAGAATTCCTCAGAAATTTCCTCTCACCTTAAATTGACTTTTATCAGTATGCCCCTGCTTATAATCCCTAAGGAAGTCTATTTTCTTCAGAGAGCCCTTGATTTTCTGCTTCAGTACCATGGACAGTTCCTGCTAAACACAAACTTGGAAAAAAGGCAGCTTATCCCAAGAAGGCTCCAGCTGTCACTACTGTAGAGCAGTCACCCTGTTCCACAAAACATTCTACATGCAGCAATAATACAGTACATCTGAAGATTTGTAAGATCCAAGTCATTGCTGTCTGCTGTTTTTTCCCCACTCTGCTTACTTTTTGTGAAAGATATGCTACTCATCCAGATATGTTTTAAGTCAATCTGTCTGCTCTGTACTCACTCATTTACATTCAGGGTCAGAGGGCTGCGTTGAGCATGAGTCGTTCAGAAAACAGGCAAATTCCCCCAACACCGTGCCAGTCCATCACAGAACTAAAAGACTGACAGGACCCCACAAGACCTGCCTGCTGTTGCTTGACAGTTACCAACCGCTGAGCCAGTGTGTCACCAACAACTTTAATAAACTAATTTAAATTCTACAGTCTGACAGCTTCAGTCTGAAAAGTGTCAGGGCAGACAGCATATTGCACAAAGTTAGTATTCCAGAAGAATCTGTTTGTTTCTGCACGATATCACACAACTAAGGAAAATGTGTTTTAAACAACATTGTAGGAGCATTTTTTTTTTAACAAGGCTCATCACCTTACTTCACCCTGTGTTCTAAGCTAATGGAATGCTTTTTGTCAACATGTATTTATATCTTATTTATTACTTTGCGGTATAAAATTCTGCTTTAGCAGCTCAAACATCACACTCTCGCTTGATTGCGCACACACCTACACAAAGAGCAAATTTTATCATGTGCTCACACCCTCTGAAGGAGACTCGTCACCTCTGTAAACAAACAACATTCTTACTTCTCTTTCTGCTGAAGATCAAAAATCCTCTTATGAGTCATTATTTTAATTGTGATCAAACCTGTTTTAAGGTGATCTTTATGAAATAATAGCTGAAAGTCGCATTAAAATCCAAATTAAGAAAACAGTGCAATGGTAGGAGATGAAAAAGAGGGGTAAACTTTATTAATCCCCTCATATTACAGTAGAAAGTGAAACCTGTGGTTTAGCATATTCTGCAAAAAATGTGCAGAGACAACATGTTGGATGATGTCAGCTTTTAATGGAATGTGTTAAAGGAAAAACTAATGACTTGTAATGACTTCTCAGCTCTTATCGGTGAAAGTAAATATAGAAGCACTCACTCTCAGCTGAGAAAAACCTGATATAGATAAAGTTACTTTTTAAGAATTGCATCAAAATCACTGAGGAGTTTTATTCTTCTATCCTCTTTTTGTTCACAGAAAATATCTGAATGAATTTTCTTTTTGTTTTGGCTACTTTTTGTAAGTTGTAACTTCATATTAGTGAAAGATTACTTCTTGCCTCAATCTACGCATAGTTTGATTGTTGCAATTATATTGGATTAAAACCCTAGAATTACTGCTTAAACAGTACCTTTTACTCTCTTCTCTTCTGTTTAGGGTCCCGTGTTCGTCAGGAAGATTCCCCCCCTCGCATCGTTGAACACCCTTCTGACCTTATTGTATCTAAAGGTGAGCCAGCCACCCTCAACTGTAAAGCAGAAGGCCGCCCCACTCCCATGGTGGAATGGTACAAAGATGGAGAGCGTGTTGAGACAGACCGTGAAAATCCCCGTTCTCACCGAATGCTATTACCCAGTGGGTCCCTCTTCTTTCTACGCATCGTCCATGGACGAAGGAGCAAACCAGACGATGGCAACTATGTGTGTATCGCCCGTAACTATCTGGGAGAGGCTGTTAGCCGGAATGCATCATTAGAAGTTGCTTGTAAGTTTGACTTTTTACATAATTTTCTTTCCTTCAAAAAGGTTCTACCACAGTTGGTCAGGAGTAAGTGTTGTATTGCAGAAAAAATGGTCCCACAGGATGTCTGGAGTGAGGAACCCTTTTATAAAGTGTATAAAAATGTGTAAATGTTGCATCAGGAAATGGTAGAGTTCCTGTTAAATTAACCATGACAATATGGGGCAGTGGTGCTACAGGATCCATAGAAGGTGTCATCTATCATAATACACGAAACCTCACCTTTTTGGCTGAACCTACCAGTGCGAATGTTTGCATGCTCAACACCCGAGCATATGTGTGTGCGTGTACGAATCTGTTTTTCAGGCTGCTGGCTAGACCTGCTTGGATGACCTGTTTGAGTAATGTATGGGCAAAGCTGTGAACCCCTCCGGGGAGGAACAAAGAAGGGGGCAGAGTTTTAACCCAGCTAACTCCTTTTCACTGTTTGGAGTTGGAAAGATGCACCCAGCTCCCAGCCAGATCTCTCCCTGTGTGGGAGAAAGGCGCTCTGGGCTATTCACATTTCCATTATGTGCTAAACTGAGCTGATTTCTTGCCATGAACAAGATGCACACATGCTTGGACGCACACACTGATATACATGCATGCACATAAAAACAAAGAATGTCTGTGGATCTGTACTCACAGACTGGGAATTGGAGGCCAGATGCATACTGGTTAGGTTTTAAATTTACAAAATTATATTATATATATATATATATATATATATATATATATATATATATATATATATATATATATATATATATATATATATATATATATGTTTAAAAGTATTTTTTTACTGTGGGTTATTTGTCATCTACTCTGGCTATGTTGGTGTCATTATTAGTAAATAAATAAAGAAGTGGACAGAACAAGAAACAAAATAAGAGACAGGCACCATTTAGTTACACTATCTAATATCTTTTTTTCAATATCTTAGCATTCAGTGTTATTGCTTTTTTTTTTTTTTGCTTTTTTTTGTACTGATTTTTGTTCTTTATACTAAATCCAAAGCCAATAAAATAGCAGGGGGGAAAGTAAAGTATGTTCAAGTTTGGGGATTTATTAGGCTTTTTAACAAAAAAAATTAAAGAAAATCATTTGCCTTTGTTTTCCCAAACTCAAAGAAGCAGATGTAGACACATTCTCAATTTAAAGGTTTGGCTTTTAAAAAATCTTTAGTGCAAATTCATATTATACCAGTGAATTATTATTATTGTTTTGTGAATTCATACCAGAGTTGTAAATTTAACTGTATCTGTACAATGTGTTTGGTGGTCAGGTTACTAGTAGAGCAACCCCTCTCTCACTCTAATCTCCATTTAAACCACACTCATATCACATTTACTCTGTATATCTTAAGCTGTTCTATCCCGTTTGAGGGTTGTGAATAATTCTACCACTCTCATAAAGAAACCAGAGACCCAAAACTGTCGTTACAGTTTCAAGAGGGAAAATGTTATGGCTGCTTCACTGATTCCCATGACTGAATAGAGGTTGAATTTGCGAACACAATGACTGTGTCAGAATGATTTTGTTGGGATTAACTGACTCTCTGTGGAGACAGTAAAGCTAATTTGCATGGGGTTGCTCAAATTAGCATTTGCAATTCTTTTTCAGGTTTAATTGTTTAATGAGGAATGGGATTTTTTTTAGATACATTATAAGAGAGGTATGCCTTCATCAGCAGTAATATACATAAAATGAGATACAAGATGTTCCAAACCTAAATCAGCTAAGAGTAGATATTAAATAAAGCCCTAATGTCTGGCCTGGGGCAGCTCTGTCTGGTTTGTTGAAAGGATGAAATGATGTGAGTCTAGGATGATGTACTGCCACATGCAGAATCCCTGAAGCCATTCCTTGGCTCGCATCTGGCCAAAAATATGTTCATAGAATCATTCTAGAGAGGGACGTGATTCTAAGGGATAAATGATTGCTCTTGGACAGACGGCTTTTACATGCTTAGCTCTTCTTTAGCTGTTCAGAGCCACCACAGTACCTGGATAAGCTCTTATCTATAGTAGTGATTCACAAATTGCAGATTTTGTTGCAGATTTTCAATCATCAAAGCTTTGAGCTGCAGAGTGTGATTTCATCCAGCTAAAGTTTATATTTAAGATAAACGCAAAAAACTTTATTTTCTATTTTCAATGCTTTCTTTCTAATATTAGTATTAGATTTTTTGTTACCGCATCTGTATGTGGGAGAGGGCAGTTAGTGTTACAAAGCTCTACAGGATTACACTTAAACTTCCAAACAAAAAGTCTTTATTGTTATGAACCATCACCAAAGGTACAGCAGATACAGTACTGTACTTCTCCATTCATACCCACTTCAGTGTACACCAAAATGATCAATTTGGAAGTACACAAACTGTTATGTTGATTGTGAATTTTTCAAAATTGCTGCCATGATTTCCTGTTCCCGGGGGATCCATGGCAAATACAATTGGACTCTTCAAAAAGATGAAATGTTCAACTAATTCTAGCCTTGCCGATATTGGCTAATATATCCCCTCTGAAAGGTATGAACAAAGATTTTTCATCTAAAATGACTTAATTGATGGATGGCATTCTTGCACTTATGGTTCCCCTCCAAAAAATTAAAATCCTCAAACTCTGGCCTTGGTGATGCCTACAAAACATCAGCCAATCCACTTTGAATACTGTTGAAAGTAGATTGGCTACTTGTTTGTCAGTCAAACATTTTGCGGACGTGCCTCCAATACTTATTTACGTAGGCTCCAAGCGTTACTCATACGCTGTTTGGCTAGCGGCCATTATGCCAAAGCATGCAGAAGGACCCCTACGCCTGTTTGCTGTTGCTGCTTTTTTTGAGCTATTTGTTCATTCTTTTGTGTAAACTGGAGCTTCAATGGCCAAAAATAATCCTGACAAACCTAACCGGAATAGAAAGCCTTTTTTAAACGTAGTTGAAAAGAGAAAAAGCTGGCTAAGTGTGTATTTAGATTCTTTTCGGAGATGGCGTGTCCTGTATGAGCAAATGGGTCCAAAAACTGCTCACAACACTTCTGCTGGACAAGTAAATCACGTTTGAATCTGTAGTAAGTTGTAGTTGCAGCAGCGAGAGAACTTAAACAATTTGTAAATATAAGTCATAATGCCAGCAGAGACCACTTCTTCTTATGGAAATTTCCTGCTGACTAGGTGCATACTGCATACTTTGCTGCCTCTATAAGTGAAATACAAAATTACCGGCGTAGAGAACTTTCGGGAAGGAGGGGGCACTGACACTGGCACTTAATTCAAAAATACACAAACAGCTGTTGGACATATCTTCCAGCACAGAATCCTCTTTTGGTCCGTTTGGTTAGCATGGCGGAGCTCCAAGGCAACGGCCAGGAGCAGCTCCTCTCGACAAAATATGCCGCTTAAAATGATACAAACTAGACATCAAACCCGCAACTATGATCGCCAACGCCTGCTGGAGCTACAGTCTCAAAATGTTTTAAATACTGACATTTTTGACCGTTTAAAAAGCTGCGGAGTGCTACGGACGGATGTCAACAAGAAAACAGAGGAAATTAACGGTGGAGGAAGAGATACGCAAGACGGAGTAAGCGGGTCTACAGAATTGGCTAACTGAGAAGCTAAAGAGAGATCCCCACAGACCACTGCTTCCATCAATCCTGCTCTCCAACATCCGCTCGTTGGAAAACAAAATGGATAATCTCCTACTGGAACTCTATTCAAAAAAGACAATATGTAACTACTGCGCCATCATTCTGAAGGGTCTTAGTTGCGTCCAGCCGTACCGGACGGTGCTGTTGGCCTGGGGGTTTGATGCTGTACCGCGCCGATAGAAACAAGAGCTCTGTGTGAATGGATGCTCCTTTGAGACTGTTCCCAGGCAATCTTCGGCATCTAAAGGGGAAGCAAAGCCCTCTGCAGGTGAAAAGGAGGAGAGCACTCTAGATGCTTCCCTGCCAAATGCTTAAACATCCCCAGGCGGCTCCTCCCAGGCCCCTCCGGCTTCCACACCTTCTCCAGCATTGTCTGGCGCTGCTAAAACCTGCCGATGGTAATCACTGCTGTTTCAACCACATCGGTCTCTTCAACCCAGGGTGCTACCACCCTCACAGCATCGTCATCATGTTCCTCTTCATCCCCCTGAGCCAGGAGAAGTGAGTGCTTCAGGAGCTGAAGGCAGTAGTAGCAGCTCAACAACAACTGCTGCTTACCTTATAAAGGCTGCACTTTAAAAAATGAAATTGTCTAGAGAGCTGTTCCCAACGAAATTTTGTTTTGTTTAGACTTGTGTATACAAAATGACGAAATAAAACTTTATTGTCTTTATGCTTGGTGGCAGCTGAAATGGTAAATACCTTTTTTATTAAGAAAGCTTTTTACTGTTTCTGTTCTTCCTCACTAAACACTTCTGTTAAAGAGAAAAAATATTGTGTTAAGTCTTATTTCCTCAGTTTTATCTTTAATGATGTAAAGTCCTGTATAGCTGGTCTTTCTATGGCTTTTTACCAATTCTAAAAATTGTTCATTCATATAAAACCTTTCTGAATAGCATTGAACTGATTAATTAGATTCTTCATGTCTTTTTTTAAGATCTCATGTTTTAAATGATGAAATTAAATATTGCTGCAAAACGTAACATTATTAGATGTATAATTTTCATAAAGAGTGAAGTAAGCTGCCTTTGTTTCAATTGTAGTAGCTCTGTCTACACAAAACCAATCAGTAGAATTTCACCCCTTTTTTGAGCAAAATATTATATTTACAGAGATGCAGAATCCTCTGACATCTCAGGTGGCTGCAGGTTCTTGCCTCTCATCCTGCGGCCAAAATGGGATAGGAGGACACGGGCAGAAGAAATAGCTGTGGGGATGAGAGATCTGTTTCTTTAACAGTTCGCACACATCTGCAAATTTTCTAATGGGCTGTGGCAATGCGTCTCAACCATTGGTTCAGAAAATGTAGCAAAACTAGAGGGGTGCTGTT